GGTGTCACTGTGTGCAAAAACAGATCGCCTCTAAGTTACCCCTTCAGCACTGGACCACTGCCAGCTACTTTGGACTCAGTGTTGGGTGGAGGGTGCAGTCTATCACAGAGCAAGGGACAAGGGTTGCTAGACTTTTGGACACATTAAAATTTGTAAAATTCTGATGACTTTTAGTATACATTGCTTTGCTTATAAGGACTCTAGGAAAATAGCCTGCCTCCTCACCAAAAAGAATACATAGAGGTAGAGAAGTATAATTACACCAAGGTTTCTGTTGAGTTAGCCAACTTAAGAGAAGAAAAAAACAAAACAAAACAGTGTACTACTGGGCGGTGCTGTATTTGATTAACTCATTAAGCATGTCTAGGTTAGGATTTTTTTTAATATAAATTTTTCTTTTGAGATAATTGTAGAATCACATGTGGTTGTAAGGAGTTCACTACCCAGGGATAATCATGCATCTTCTCAGACCCACCTTGGTGAATCCTGCAAAACTACAGTACAGTTTCACTACCAGGATACTGAGAGATACAGTCAAGATGTACAATATTTCCACCACAAGACCCCTAACGTTGCCCTGTTATAGTCACACTCACTTCCCTCCCATTCACACCACCTCCTTAACCCCTGGCAACCACTAATCTGCTCTCCATTTTAAGGATTTTGTCACTTCAAGAATGTTATGCAAATGGAATCATACAATATGTAATCATCTGAGATTGACTTTTTTCACTCAGAATGATTTTCTAGAGATTCATCTAAGTTGTTTTAAGGAGCAATAGTTTGTTCCCTTTTATTGCTGAGTATTTGATGCTGTAAATGTACCACAGGCTTTTTGTGCATGTAGACGTTTGTTTGTTTCAGCACCACCTGCTGAAAAGACTACCCTTCTCCCATTGAATTGCTTCTGCTCCTGTGTCAAAGGTCAGTAAATTACATGTTTGTGGGTCTGTTTCTGGGTTCTGCATTCTGTTCTGTTGATCTATTTGTCTACTCTTTTGCCAATACAAAACTGTTGCTTTAAAATAAGTCATGAAGTTGGATAGAGTCACGCCTCCAACTTTGTTCTTTTTCTTTAAAACTGTGTTGGCTATTCTGAGTCTCTGCCTCTCCATATAAACCTGAGACTCAGTCTGCTGATACCCAAAAAATAACTTGCTGGAATTTTGATCAGGATTGTATTGAATTTATAAATTAAATTGGAATAACAGATACCTTAATTGAGGCTTGCTATCCATGAACCTAGAATATCCCTCCATTTACTTAGATCTTCTTTGATTTTTTTATTAGAATTTTAGTTTTCCTCATATACATCTTACACATTTTGTAAGATTTATACCTATGTACTTCTTGTAGACAACACATAGTTGGATCTTGTTTAAAAACTTAATTAAAAAATTAAAAAATCTACTCAATAGTCTCTTTTAATTAGTATATTTACTAGATTTGTAACTTCTGTGTTACCTTGTTCTTTTCTTTTGTGTGTGTGTGTTTTGTTTTTCATGCTTTTCCTGCTTTTTCCGGTTTTAACTGAGCATTTTATATATTCTATTTTATCTCCTCTCTTAATATATCAACTACACTTTTAAAAAATTTACGTGGTTTCTCTAGTGTTTGCAACATACATTTACAACAAATCTGAGTCCACTTCCAAATAACACAATACTGCTTCACGCTTACCCTTATTTTTTATTTACTGTATTTTCTTCCTTCATTTTTTAAAAATTTTTTATTGATTTATAATAATTTTACAATGTTGTGTCAAATTCCAGTGTTCAGCACAATTTTTCAGTTATACATGAACATATATAATATATAATATGTTTTCTTCCTGCATGATGTTCCAAGATTCCTCCCTTAATCATTTGTTTACAGAACTTCCTTTAACTATTCATTCAGCATTGGTCTGTTGATGACAAATTTTCTGTTTTCCTTCACGTGAGAATGTTTTGATTTCTCCTTCATCCCTGAAGGAAATTTTCACCAGATTCAGTACTCTGTGTTGACAGTTCTTTCAGTATTTGAAAAACCTTGTGCCACTTCCTTGTGGCCGCTTCTGCCATTCAAATTATTTTCCTCTATATATAAGGTCTTTCAAGATTTTTGTCTTTAGCTTTCCAAAGTTTGACTCTGACGTATGTTGGTCTGGATTTCTGTGGATTTATCCTGTTGAAAATTCACCCAGCTTCCTGAATTGAGGTTTGTCTTTGCTCAATGGGGGAAGTTTTCAGACCATGTTTCTTCATATACTTTTTCAGCCCTGCCCTCTGCCCTCCCCTCCTGGCCCTCTCACCACATGAAGATTAGATCATCTGTTACAGCCTCCCAGGCCCCTGAGGCTGGCTGGGTTCTTTCTTTTCCCCCCAGTCTATTTCCTCTGTTGTTCAGATTGCGCGATTTCGATTGTTTTTATCTTCAAGTTCACTGATTCCTTCCTCTTCTGTTGAGTCAATCCGCTGAGATTTTTATTTGAGTTATTGTGTTTTTCACTTACTAAAATTTCCATTTGGTTCCTCGCTCTCTGCTGAGACTTCTATTTCTGTGCTGAAAAATTCTGTGTTTTCATCTGTTTCAAGCATGTTCTTAATTGCTTATTGAAGCACTTGACAGCTGCTTTGAAATCTCTGTCAGACATCTATGTCAACTCAAGGTTGGTATCTATTGGTTGTCTTTTTTTATTCAAGATATTCCTGGTTCTAGCAATGACACTGACTGTTTATTGAAACCGACATAGACATATTGGTTATCATACTAGGAGACTCTAGATCATAAACTTCCTGCTCATTTGGTTTCCTCAGTCACACTTCAGGAGCAAAAAGGGGGATGCTGTTTGTTGCCTCGTTACTCCCAGGGAGTGAGGAAGCCCAGGCTGCCTAGTTAGCTTCTGTTAGCACGTGAAGGGGATGGGGCTCCTTAATGCTGAGCAAAGGTCAAAGTCATGACTCTCCAGTAGGCCTCCTCGGACACCACCCCCGTGGGGTGGGCTGCAGGTCAGTGGTACCTCATTAGAAGCCGGCAGAGATGGAAGTCCAGGCTCCTCACTTGGCCTCTGGTGGTTTGGTTGAAGCTACGGTGTCTTCTGTTGTATCGGGCTGAAGTAGCGAGGTTAGTGTATAAAATAATGTTTTCTGTCTTGCTAGCCTGCCCTTTCCTGATCCTTTGATCACAGAGGGCAGGCTTTTTCTGTCTGCATCCATTAGCATTTACAGGTTGCCAGCTTCTTCAGTTCCAAGCCTGAGATATATGAGGCAAACAGAAAATTCAGGGAACTCACCACTCTGTCATTCTATGAGTTCTAAGGTCCCTAGCTGGTCTGCCTTCTCTCCATCTTTCCATTTTCTTATGTTTATACATAATGTTCAGGGGTTTTAGTTGTACACAGCAGGAGGAATAGAGCAAAGTACATTTCCCCATCCATTTACCTTCAACCTGTGATTTTATATCTAAACTCTGTTTCTTGTGGACAGATATTGTTGAGTCCTGCTATTTTTTCATTTTGGTAATCTCTGCCATATTAATTGGTGTGTTTAGACCATTAGTAATTAATGCAATTATTGCTATGGCTATATTTAAATCAATAATTGTAATAGTTTTGTTTGTCTTGTTTTGCTTCTTCTGTACCTTTTCCTGTTTAAAAAATATTTTAAAAATCCATTTTATTTTTATTTTTTAGTTATACCTCTCTGCATTCTTTTAAAAATTGCTCTAAGCATTACAGCATACTTATCTTTCTACTTAGTTAACATTGTACCACATCATGTAGAACACATAGAAACATTGCCACCATATATTTCCCTATACCACGGCCCCCACTGTTTTATGCTCTAGTGGTCATGTGTCTAGCACATATGACAAAACAATGTTCCGTGAACGAAAAATACTGCAAACCATATCAGTAAACAAAGAAGGCTGAAGCCATCAAGTCATCAGCGGCTGCCGCCACCCCCCAGTGAAGACAAGCCTGCAGCCCAGCCTCTGCAGCCACTCGCAGTGGTGCCCCCTGAGGGGACTCAGAATAAGAAAGGACAGGATACTGGCCCTAGGTAGCTAGGTGCTTGTCAAAGGGATGAATTCAATGGGCCCAAATGTTTGCTTCCTCCCATACATAGAAAAGCACTAAATTCTTTAACTGAGGTTTTCTTTAGATAACAAGTAATCTTTTTTGTTCCAACTACCTGGTCTTTGTTGTAAAGCTCCTGTATATCCTGCTCCTCCCCTAGCTCTTCGGAGCAGCCCCTCAGAGCAATCTGAGAGGCTGTCATCCTGGCTGGAGTCCTGCCAAATAAACCGTAACTCTCAACTTTTACGCTGCACATTTATTTCAGTCAACAGTTATAACTTTTGCTTTATTTTAAATAAATTAACAAGAAAAATGGTCTTTTATACTGGCCTATTTATAATTTCTCATGCTTTTCCATCAAAACTGCACCACTTCTTAAAATTTTAAGATTACCAAAGTGCACCATTTTCCCCTAATGTGGATAAACACATAAATTACATATTAAGACTGTTGCTGACCCTCCTCATTAACTCATGACAAATAAATATCACTCGGCATCAATGTGTTTGTAAACTGAAATACAAATTTAAGCAATAGAATCAGAGACCAGTATCAATTATAAAGTAAATTGGGTATAAAATGTGTTATTTTCCACGTTATCAACTGCAATTGTTTTAATGCTAAATATAAAAATCTTGAAAATTCTGTCCAAACCATGGACATCTCTTCAATATTAAACAGGAAATATTTCCAACTCATTTTAAGAGTATCTCAATATATCTTCAGAGCAAACAGGAAATGTTAATTAAGGCACAACTACATATCTGAAATTAAAAACTGAAAAGTTATCTTCTTTCCGTTAGTTCACTGAAAAACAGGAATATTTAGAGATGTAAACAAGTCATAAAAATGAACTGATATAGTAAACTTTAAATACTAAGCAAGCGTTTACTGAGCCTCTACCATGTGCTAGACACTGCTAATAACCAGGTACAGATTCTTTTCAGGAAACTCACTACCTAGTAGGGGGGAAAGACAAAACAAACTGAACTATTATTAAGAGGACCAGAAAGGTTGAACTTTACTATCCTGAAGAAAGTGGGGAAGTAGCGAAGGACTTTCAGGAGGGGAGAAACAGGGCACGCCTCGCAGACTGGCTAACCCACCATCCTGTCCCCTCTCTCCCTTGCCTAGCTTTACTATGGACGCTAGGAGAGGTGAAGGATCAGCCTCTGAGCCTCTGCTGCAATGAGGGATGGCCGGGCTGATATAGCTCTGGCCAGTAAATGCAAATCTACTTGAAAAGGCTCCCGCGAAGCTTTTGATTTCCTGATATTCAGGGCTTGCTCCTCCCCTTGCCTTCTAGCCTCAAACCCAGCATGTGTAAAACCAGCCATCCTGCAACCCTCCGGGAAAGGCCCAAAGCATCCCGGATAACTCAGCAATGACGCCATCGAGCTACTCGAGCAAAGCCTGCAGCCTTCTCCAGGTTTCCTGTCATTCAAGATAAGTCCATCTAACTGATTTAACCAGGGTTTTCTGTTATCTGAGTTTGAATGTCTTCTTCTGAGATCAGACGAGATGGGGTGCGTTCAAGGTGGTATGGCTGGAGATGAGTCTGAATGTCTTCTTGACCAATAAAAGTTGTAAGAATAAATGTGGTTTTCGGAATGGCCAGTCCTGAGTTACTGTGAAGTACGGATTAGGAAGGGGCAAGGGTGACGGTAGGGAGACTTGTTGGGAAGTTATTATGTTATGTTACCCTATGCAAGAAAAACAAGGGCTTGGACTAAGATAACTGCAGTGGTGACAATGAGGAAAATATAGATTCAGAGATACTTAAAAGGTGAAAGAGAGAAGGCAAGAAGATGAAGAAAAGGTTTCAAATATCTTCTGAGGTTCTAGTTTGAGAAACAAGATGGACAGTTGTGCCATTCTCCAAAACAGACATGGTGAGGGACTAAGTTCAGCTTTGGACATAGGCAGGCTGGGACACCTATGGGACAACCTGTGAAAATGACAAGGCAGGTGACTATGGATCCTGAAGTCAAGAGTGAGGTCTGGATTAGAGAAACCCAGATTTGACAGTAACATCATACAGAGCAGTACTGGGCATCAGAACTATGATATAAGCCTTATATGTAATTCTAAAGTTAAAATAAATAGATGACATTAACTTTAATATTTTATTTAACTCAATTAACCCATAATATTACTTCACGTTATCAATATAGTTGTAAATGTGAACAATTTACATGCTACATGTGTTTTATACTTAAAGCTTATCTGGATTCATCTCAGTGCCTTTTTCATCACAAGTACTTGATTTGTACATAAATTTCATAAAATTTACATTTGAAAAAAGTAGATTCATATATCCAAATTGTTCCAAACACAGTTAAGTTTGCCAACAACTGAAAGAAAATAATTTCCTTTATTGTTTAAATCCACACCAAAAAAAAACCCTACTCATTTTTTAAATTGATTTGCCTTCAGAGCAAAAGCACATCAGTTTGGAAATACCTTTGTCCAAGTTAAGTAAATCCAATAAATCTTGTGTCGACGCTCAGTCTTGTTAAGACTGAATTTAGAGTTACTGAGTAAACTGAAAAGCAACTCTAAATTTATCAATAAATGAAACATTTTCCAAAATTTTCTTGTGGTTTTTATAGTAAATTTATATAACAATGTCAAAACAGTTAAAATCCTATGCACACTGATTCGTATTAGAAAAATGTAAAATTATTCTGATTTTTATTTTTTAAAGTTTCAGTTTCAAAGTAAATCCCAGTACTTGTCTAGGTAGCGCAAGCAGGCATTTTCCCTTCCTTGGAGCTTCAAATTTACACCATTCATTCACACGCCATGTGGTACTGGGGACTAAGCAAACTGCCATTTCCCTTTGACTGTTAATATCTGGCTAGCATTTCTGTTGTTGCAAGAAAATCTTGAACTGGTGTTAGCAACAGTACAGTAAGTTTTGTAGACTCTTCCACAATTCAACCAACTGGCAGAGTACACAAGATCACTAAACTCACTGCCCTTTAGTTCTTCAGCAACCCTATAAACTGATGTGGACTCACAGCACTTAGCACTTAACGGCTGTACCCAGGACACCTGTCACAGGGACCATTTCAGAAAACTGCACCAATCACACAGAGGGATGAAGAAATAAGAGAAAATACCAGGCTTATTAAAAAAAATCCAATGAAATCTCTGACTTTTGACCTAACCGAACTGGAATGCTATTTATTGTGATAGAAAATAATTTTTTTCTTATCTAGCTGAAACTCTTCCGATACATTTAAAAGATTAAAATATAGCTATACAAGTTTGACCTCTCAGGCCACGAATTGAAATTGACTCATAAATTTTTACATCTTATGAGACAAAATGTACTCCAAATATTACTTGGACAGGATCTCTTCTATTACATTACTTACCTAAAGCTAAAGTACCTGTAATTTTTCAGATTTTGAATCAATCAATTTTAATTTTGTTAGAAATCCCTGTATATTACAAGCAAAATTTGGTGACAAATAAAGACTTTGTACTTTAATTAGAAAACATTTTTAGGCT